GTACTGGTTGCAACCTTACTGCTCTACGAGTAGCCCATGAGCAACCGGGTATCGGTAAGCGAAAACAGGGGGTTATACCGGTACTGTACGGTACTAGTATCATACTCGGGGGTGGATGAAAGTGATCGAGGGGACAGGGGTTGGAGGTCTCAAAGCTTTTTGCCCTCTCTGGAATTAGACCTACCAAATTAAATCATTTCTTGCCTCTTACAGTAACGAGCACGGGGACTTCAAACCCCTGTCCCCTCGATCACTTTCATCCACCCCGAGTACGGGTACGAGTACTTTATTTTGGCGCTCATATCCCTTGCGATATCAGTACTTGTATAGTACCGGCACGATACGTGCTGAACTGGTACAAGTACTGTACGTACTGAACTCGCATTGTCAAGAGGTTCGGGTAAGGCGCCTGCCAAGACGGGTGGCTCCCGCCTCGTTGGGGGTGCGCGGCAAGGCGGCCCGCTCCGTGCCCCGTTCAGAAACACCTTTCTGAACCCTAACCCTAGAGTCCGTTACAATATCACCTCTTTATCCCATCAACTACGAATAGGACTATCGATGGCCCCTCATTTACGGTAATACCGGTACAATCACTGAGGAGGGGTGAGTGGACTTCGACGGGGTCGGGCGTCTGAAATTTGAAATTAACTATGATATGATGATCTTACCCGTTCTTGGAGCAGATTTAAGGGAACTGTCTTCGCTTGTTTATCTACTACTTTGTCCAATCATACAGCAGAGTAACCTCCCTGTGTGAACTCTACGAGTGCGACACGATCGGTTTGCTCACACTAGTACTCGTACATTTCCCTAATACTAGATTGGTGTCTAGTTTAGTGACTACCGGTATTGCACTACCACTCCACTCCGGTGTTTGTCTTTCACCAGCTTCATCGGGGTGGAGGAGACTGTGCTTATACAAGTACGTTTGACAATTGGCGCGGTAAATTGGCTTGTACTCGTGAGCATGCTCCGGTGCGCTTGGAGGCTGCAAGAAATGGGGAAAGGGGAAAAGGGGAAAGTGGGACATGTCACTAAGCTTTAGCCGAGGTGAGACATGCGCAGACAAGTCCCCCTCCCACACAAGAAAGTCTAAAAGGTTAGCCAGTGCTGAATTCCTTTCCGGAAACCTAATTGGATGACGGGAGAGCACTAGACGTCTCACGGGCGGGCATGGAGGGTCATTAGGAGTCGGGAGATAGAGGATGCCGACGTAGGGATTCTTACAAGACGGCTCACTCCCGCGGGGGACAATCCTTGATGGAACCTGGTATATACAAGTAGCTCCCGCCCCCCTGTCTCTTCTCCCATTGCCCTACTACCGGTACCCATCCTGGATATCATCAGGCCATACGCAAGTGGAATACCAGATTAATAAAAGTTGCTCATTCTGTACTACTATATACAAAAAAATAGCCTATGTAAAAGCTCTTGGTCACCATTGAAGCTGAGGAACTGGGGTTTGAGTGGTTTCTTTGTTTTTTTCGAAATATCGGGCGAACCCCGCGAGAAACTCCCTCGGTGCCCTTCTGTCCCTGGGGTGGCCCCCGGTTGGGCCTTCGAAGCCTGTGGGCGATCCGGACGCCTTGTTTCTTGGCAGCTAGAGTCCGGTGCTCTGCAATTGTATTCGCACATCCATGACGATCCTCCTATTATCCCTTGATTTTGACTGACAGGCTTCGTCGGATGATGCGAAAGGACCTGGAGGCCTATTTGGGATATGTGCAATCCCCCCCTCCCACCCCACGTTCGCTTTTCTTTTAGATTGGTTAGACGCAGTACTGTACTTGTATTTTGGGGTCTCCAACCAAGGCAATCTAGCACCCTTGGTGTATCGCACACGCTGGCACAATTGGTGTGATACAAGGCTTACCGCTTCGGCGTCTTATCCGGATACTTTTGCATTTGACGAGTGGGTTACCCTATTCAGGGGGTTACACACTTCCCTCCTATGACTTCTGCCACCATATCATACAATGCGGCCCAATGCCTCTTTTCAAGCCCTTGATATATATCCAGCTGCTATATATTTAACTCCAGCCGACCTCCACCCCCCGGTATCCTGTCCATCCCCACTGGTACCCTCTTTCTCTCACCACGTCTTCCCAATTTGAACGCAGAGTCCGGACAGTTCCCACGAGCGCAGCGAGTTCGCCCAGGACCTAAACCCTTTGTCAGACCAGAACACAATACCAGTAAGTGAGCTTGGGTATCATACGAGGTAAGAGAAATGTCTAGATATCCGGTGGTAACTATGGTGGAGCTTAACTAACTATTGGGTGGAGAAGCGTCCGGTATTTCGGGGGAAACTTCAGACACCTAAGGAACTTCTATATTTATATTGTGGTGCCTGCAGGAGAGATCCTTCTACCACCATTCACTGGTTCCAGTAGCACCTACCACGAGCCTCCGGGGGATTCCTGAAT